CCGGCTCCGGCGGGCCTAGTCTATGTAACATCTAGGACGGGACCTAAAATAAGTGAGAAACGTTACTAATTGTCAGGTCTCGTCCAAGGATGACCTCAAGCATCCTTGCTGCAAAGTTATAAGCCAATGACATTCAACCAAAAAAAAAACTAAGGGGTCAGCCGGTATACTAAATTAGACATAATTATAAAAAAAGATATAGAACGAAATATTTTAGAAAAAAATACACAGCTGAGATACAAAGACGTAAATGCCAATTTTATAAAAAAAAATTTCCTAAAAACTGTAACAAAACATTTATCTTAAGCGCTGAAATTTAAGGTTATTTAATTCAAAATTTTTAATACACCTTGATTCATGTGTATTTTTTTTTTTTTGGAAAGTGATTTTATTTTTAAATTATATTTATACATTAAATATCTCCTAATTTTATGGAAAAACTTTAATATTCTGTTTATTTTAGGATATATCACTTTGTTTGAATTTTAAAATTTGTTAATTATTTTTTCATATAATTATTTTTTTATATAATTTAAAATATAAAATTATTTACATTATAACAAAAATGTTACAAATTCATTAAGTAATAGTGTAACAAGAACAGTGTAACAAAGACAATGTAACAATACACTGTAACAAAAACAGTATTTAGTGGTATTACTGTTTTGAATGAAATTATATCAAAATATATGTTTTATAAAATGTAATAGTATAATATTTTGTTACACTGTTATGGAGTTCGAATATTAATATAATTTAAAAACAAAACCGTTTTCTAAAAAAATACGCATGAATCAAGGGAGGGCGTAAAAATACGAAATATTAAAATTCTTTCATAAAACTAGGAGATGTTTAATTCACAACTTTTCAAAAACAATATGCATTAATCAAGGGAGGATATAAATGTCACAAGAAAATATAAAATTCCAAATAATGTACTTGAAAACAAATAAATATCAAAATTTAAGACTTTTTTACCATACATTTTTTTTCTATGTATTTTTTTAAAAATTAACTCTAATTTGTCGTACCCCTTTCGATTTCTCCAAAAAAAAAAAAAAGAGTCACGGGCCAATGTTCTGAACAAGGCCCAGATGGAATAAATGGATCAGAATGGTTGGCCCAAGTTGACCATTGATTTAGGCCAAACCCAGTTGAAATATAATTCAATTTAACTCAACAACAGTACGACACAATTTATTATTGTGCTCTATTAAAACACTAGTTATTCTCTGTGTTTGAAGGCACAGAATAATAAAAAAAAATAGTCAACATAATTGTATTTACATCTAAAATCAAAACACAAACATAGAGAAGAGATAAAAAAATTAAAATACAAATTATAATGGGAGTGAATAGTGATAGTGGTGGTGGGCGACAGTGATGATTATAGAAGACAATGATAGTTATGGTGGGTAAGGTAACGACCGTTGTAGTAGTAGCAACCCTGGGTGGCAATAGTGATGGTGATGGTGGGTTTTGAGTGACGAAGATGGTAGTAACAGCCGTGGGTGACAATGGTGGTGGTGGTGGTAGGTGTGGGTGATGGTGGTGGACAACAGTGATGGTGATTGTCAATGACGGTGGTGGGGACGACAATAGTAACAGTGGACAGTAATGATGGTGGTGATGGGCAACGATGAGTGCTTCTAGGCGACAATGTGATGAGTGGTGGCAAATGGCGGTGGTGGTAAGCGTGGTGGGGGTAAGTGACAGTGGTGGGGCGATGACAAGTGGTGGTGGTTGGTGGTAGTAGGTGTGGTGGGGGTAGGTGATAGTGGCTGGTAGCGATGGGTGGTGATGGTGGGCGATGGTGGTAGTGGGATGATCGTGGTAATGATAATAAATATAAGAATAAGATGACGGTGATGTTGGGTTGAGGCTATGAACAACGATGGTAGCAATCGATGGGGTGGTGGCGGTGGGGATGGGGTTAGCGGTGATGGGTTGGCGATGATGGTGGTAGTTGTGATGGTCATGGAGGTGGTTGTGGGGCGATGGAGGGTGATGGTGAGACAGTAACAATGGTGATGATGGTAGGGTATGGCAGCAGTGGTTGTGGGGATGGTGGTGATGCAGTGGTAGAAGTGATGGTGGTGCTGAGACGATGGTAGTAGTAGTAGTGATGATGGTGGGGTGGTGATGTTAGAAATAGTTAGTAATGTAAGATATCCCACATTGAAAAATTGAAAGAGAGTGTAAAAGTTTAAAAGAAGAAACATACCAAATTTTACAAGTTTGGATGGTGGGAAGATTTGGAGGGAAGCCCCAAATATTTCAAATCAATGTATCTTGATTAGGCTTTAAATAAAATAATTTTTAAAGTAAAAAAATGGCCACTTGGGACATCTTGGGCTTGAAGCTTATTTTGTATTAATTAAGCAATTAATTAACTGTTACATGTCTTTTGGTCCAAGAGTTGTATCTCTTCTATACATCTCTAAGGTATTATAAATACTTGTACAAATCTTTCAATAAAAATATACAAAACTTTTCTCTATTCTATTCTTGGTAGAATTTTAAAGTTTGTTATCTAAAATTCTTTTTAACTTTGTTAATCCTAGAATAATTTGCTACAAACCTAGCAACAAAATAGTGATGACATAATTTATTTAAGTAGAGTGAATACACAATCAAAGTCTTCTAATTTATTATAAATTTCTTGGTAACAAGTGGTGGTAGTGGTGGGCGGTGGTAATAGTGGTTATGGTGGTGGTGGGGCAATGAAAGTGGTGATGGTGATGGTGGTAGTGGTAGTGGTAGTGGTGGAGCGGTGGGGGTGGTGGTGTTAAAGATAGTGATAAGGTGGTTTCAAACACTATTTTTAAAAAAAATATTAATGAAAAATAATTTCTAAAAATATTTTTAAAAAATCACTTCAAACACATCTTTAATAGCCCANTTTCAAACACTATTTTTAAAAAAAATATTAATGAAAAATAATTTCTAAAAATATTTTTAAAAAATCACTTCAAACACATCTTTAATGGCCCATTTTTCATATTAAATTTAGGGTGTTAATATTAGCCGTTAGATTAACTTTAAAATAAAATTTAAAGCGATTTCAATCGCGAATAACAAAAGTCATTTTATTTATCTTTTGACATTTGAATTGTATTGTACTTTATTATAAAAATAATAAGATGTGAATACATTTTTCAAAACTTATTTAATTTTAAGTACTACCTTCAAACTTATCCTTTTTTTATCAAATAATTGTCAATAAATACACATTTTAAAAAATTTTCAAATTCTTTCTAAAATGTATTCTATAATTACCTTTACCATAAATATTGCATACCTAATTGACAATTTTTATACTTTCAATATCTAAAAATTAGAATGTGAGACTTTCAAGATTTCTTTTGATATTTGTATATCATTTAAATTTTGAAATTTCATATATATATATATATATATACACACACACACGCGCGCACACACACACGCGCATATGATAATATCAAACAATAACACACTCAACAAAAAATAGTAACATCAAACAGTAATACGCTCAACAAAAAAATAGTAACATCAAACAGTAACACGCTCAACAAAAAATAGTAACATCAAACAGTAACATACTCAATTAAAAATTTAATTAAAAATGTAATCTTTGATGTTACTATTTTTTGTTATTAAGTGTGTTACTGCTTAATATTATTATTTTTTTATTAAACATATTACTGTTTAATATTATTTTATATATATATATATATATATATATATATATATATATATGTAAAATTTTAAAATTCAAATAATACACAAACATCAATAAAAATATTAAAAGTCTCACATTCAATTAGGTATGCACTATTTATGATAAGAATAAAAATATTTTTATGACTTTTTTTTAACAGATATACTTCTATTTCAATAATTTTAAAAAACATAATTTTATCCTATTAAAATTTTAGGAAGATACTGGCCACCTTAATCTCCTTTATTATATAGATCGGACCAAAATGGGTCAAAAATGTTCTGGCCCACCAAAAGGACATCTCAAAAGGAAATGTTCCAAGAAAAAAATCTAAACACATGCCATCAAATTAAGTCTCTATAATATTTTTTTTTAGGCCAACTTACTTACATTTTAATTAATTAATCTCATTTCTGATTTAGTCAAAGTCAAACAAAAAAATGTCGTTGACACCTTTTTTTTTCTTTTTTTGAACAAAGAGAAATGGTGACTGAATATGCGTATTGTGGGTCTATCTTTGATTTTCACTGTACTTTATAAGATAAGTAAGTTTATGATACCAAAAAAAATTATATGTATTATATTAAAATTGATCCACAGTCGTTGATTTTAATTTAATTAATTATAATTATTAATTATAAAATAACAAATAACATAAAAAAAAATTGGGTGCCAAAATTCTATTAAATGAAGAATAAAAATATGGTATCAAAAAGAAAGCCTTTCTGCTGCAACCATTGATTAGTTTTATCGACACTTTCAAATGACCAGAATCCACCAAAGTTGCTCAACCACTTCACAATGACGACCAAAAATCAAAGTCTCGTTTAGCAACGTTTATGATTTTTAATTTTTTAAAAAATAAAAAATAAAATCAAAAAATAAAAAATATCTTTTTCTAATTTTTGAAAATCGTCCCAAAAAATAAAAAATATCTTTTTCTAATTTTTGAATATCGTCCCAGGTTTATAAAATGATGACAAAAAAAATAACTAATAATAACGGTTATCAAACGAATTTTTTTTTCTTATTTTCACTAAATATCAAAATAAAAACAAAAAATATAAAATATAAACGTTACCGAACGGAACGGACCAAGATATTTCAGAGTGGGAGAGAGAGACTCTGTATGATCATTGACTCGGATGTTAAGAGATACATTTGTCACAGCATTAAACGATATAATTTATAAGAAAATATTAAACATGATAAAATATTCATGTTATATCGTAGCGTCACAAAACTGTCAGTCGATAATGATAACTCGAATATAATTCAAACAAGATAGACTAAATTGTGCAAGACTTGAAATTAATACATATTATGTAATAGTAACGTTTTGAAAAGGGTCCGGGTCGTATCATAAACATAGAAGAAGAGAGACTTAGACAACACACACCACATGGTCCACATCTTTATATAAACAAGAAGTACACCATAGCAAAGAACAGGGTTACATACCCCCATACTCCATCAAACATAGGAACATATTAAGCAAAACATAGAGAGGCTTTGTTTATAGAGATTCTGAGAAGACAGTAGTGGCATATATAATTAAGGGCACTTGGTCCTGTTACCATGAGTGGTCATGTCAGTGTAGCAAGTCCCGCACAGCTCTCTGTTCCCTGAGGTACCCGGAGGAACACACTTGCACCTCACACAGCAAGTACCACATGCTCTTTTGCACAAATTTGGCCTCGAGTGTAGACTGCACCTATCTTTGCACAACCCTCCACAGTCTGCAAAGTATAAATACATCAATAGAAATTTAACTAAATATAACATATCATAACACAAACTGAATTAATGTCAATGGGTCGTGTCACGCTAGAATAATAGTATGTTTAAATTGTGTTGTGTGAATTTATTGAACTTATGGATGATCAATTTACGATGAGTTCATATTGTGCATTATTTGATACATTCACCGAGTCTTCTCATTTTACCACACGAATTCATCTAAGACTAATCTCAAACTCGTCAAAACCCATTTACAAAACAAGAATCAAGAAACGACCAAGTCCAAAACAAGAATTAAGCCCCCAGAAAGAAAAGAAAAAAAAAACACACACACACGTACCCATGAAAGGCAGAAGCCTTCTGTTAGCTCCTTTCACCACCTGAAAAATAAAGCGAAGGTGTATGTATGTCAAAGGTTGTGAACTCAGAGATATACACACACGGAGTCAGTCAAGAAAGAGAAAATGGTGGTGGTGAGAATGATGGTGATGAAACCTGGGTCTGGAAGTCTTCAATCTCAGCATCAGATGACACCTGCAATCACATTCAGCAGATAAGAAAATGGGGAAACAGTATAGTAACCCATTCAATTTTCACTACCGTACTGAAAAATAAATAAATAAAAATTATAAATTTTGTGATAAGCTTCACTGAAAAAACGATAAGCGAACCCCAAAAGTTGATAAACTCCATCCAAAAGTGGTATATACAACAAAAAACTTAGTAAGTAGTACGATACCCATTTTTTTTTTTTTGGGGTCCGGTAGTCAAACCCAGAAAAGGGTGTCCTGTTTCATGTACTAATTACTGATCCAGTGGTTCACATAAGAGAAAGAGAGGACCAGTCTCTCTCTACCTGGGCTACACAGAAGAGCAAGAGAGCAACAAGAAGAAGAAAGCGTGACACCATATTTTCTCAGTATCAGTGACCAAAACTATGTCTGTAATGTGGTATAAAGAGTGGGTTTGAGGTAGAGTGAGCTTTGAAGGCAAGTTCTAGGGTCGGTGCTTGATTTATAGGCTGCTTCATGCAGTACATGATTGCATAATTACCCTTGGTTTCTACTACTATTTACGGGCCCAAATATTTATGTTCTGGTACGACAGTACTCTTGGGATCATTTGCTACAATATTAAACGAGGGAAGCCCAAGCTCCAATGCTTTTATTTAAAAGTAATTTTTATAGGGATTTTCCTTTTATATTTGAATTAGTTTTTTTGGCCACTGATATTTGTGTAATAGGATTAGTATAATTCTGACTGTTTAACTTTCTTTGTAAGAATCTTAGCACTTTGCAAATTATTAGATGAAAAAAATTAGGTCAATTTTACAATTTTGATCCATTTTGTTTCTATTATCAATTTTTTAGACTTTAGACACTTGGCGGTCTTCCTAGACCGAATAATCAACTGACAGTGTCATCTATTCTACGTTACTTTTAAGAGGGTCGTTGTTGATTTTACATAATGGATAACATATTCAGATAACACTTGATCTCTATGTGTCTTAATATATGTTAATATAACTATTCACGGTGTATGTTAGAACTCTTGTAATTTAATTTTTATTTTATTTGATTATTAATAAACTATTGAAGGTATATTAGAATTTTTTTTTTCTATTTGACGTAAGATTCTCACATGTGGTGTCTCGACACTTGTTTCAGCATATTACTTAATTTTAAGCTATTCAAACCAGCAAAAGAGTTAGTTTTAGGTAGAACACAAGTTACACAAATAGAATATGGATGATAAGATGACAAAAACACAGTATGGAGAATCCTGCCATGAATCTTTGGCAGTCGCAGTGAGTGAATAAAACAGAGTCTTTTTGTTCAGCTTATTTGGCCAATTTTCAAATGTGAGCAATATCTAGGGCTCAATGCATTGCCCTGAATATAAATTCCAGTTTATGTCAATTAGTGGTGATGGGCTCAATGGATACAGAAAAAAAAAAAATGAAGAACTGCCCATAATTTAGGTTCCAAGACTTGACAATACATAGTATATTGGGCACGACCAAGAAGTATTAAATTCTCTTTTCGAGTAGGTCCTGAAAGGTGAAGGAAGACTAGAATGCCAACAAACGTCTGTTATTGAATTCACCCGACCTAATAATATCTATTTTAAAAACGTCTAGTGTCAAAGTCACTTAATGCATGCGAGTCTCGGACATAGAGAAACCTTTCAAACTTAAAATAAGATTTTTATAAAGTAATGCCCCACTTTAAAGCAGCCAATGAAAGGTCTAACAGAGAATCGTGCATGTTCACCCCAATGGCCAAGGTACCTTATCTTTTTTTGGGTTGATGCAGGATTGAGTCACAATGGGACATGATGTTCCTACACTCAGATCAATTCGGACTCATCAAATCCTTAACCAGTTAAATCCGACCCCTTTAACTCGAATACCGTCAATTTTCAAATTCAAACCAGAGTAATACAATTTGGGTCGGTTCAAGTTGAATTCTAAGAATCTAATAAACTAACTCAAATATTACCCGAATATAATTGAACTGGTATAACACAAATACGAAAAGTTTCTACAAAAATAATAAAAATTCTAGATTGATTTTAGGATTGAACCAACCAAATTACACCCCCATGATGTAGTCCCCTCAATTGATCTCAACGTATTACATGCTTGGATCTCCTACTCTGGTCTCTTTTTGGGGAGAAAGTATTGGGTGTAACCAAAGATCAAAAATTCATTTCAACAAAAACGTTTCGGTAATATTTCAAAAATAAGATAGAAATAAAGAAAAAATTAAAAATTTATTTTTACAAAAACACCTCAAAACATAAAATTTTGATATTCAATCAATGATTCATTTTAGTTTCCATGAAAATAAAAACTGATGATACATCAAACAAGCCTTAGTTGTGAGCTCAGGTCAGGAGGTCAAGAAAGACAAGAAGAGCTTAGAGAACCGGGAGTGGAGCTCCCCTTTGGGGAGATCGTAACTGAACCAACCAGGAAACAGCTAGATGACTACGGAAATTGGGCCTCATGTATGAAACTCTCAACTAACCAAGATTCTCTTCTAAAATCAAGGAAGATCCCATGAATAATGGACAAAGATCTCGACTGAAATCCCACGGAATAAGGGGCAGTCTTATAAATACTATGTAACGCCTCCATAGATAGAGAGATGAAAACAAAAACCATTTTTTGAGATATAATACATTTGAGTATGGAATAGAGGAGAGGGAGCAAGAACCTCCATTGAAGAGTGGACTAGCCAAGCTCTTGAGCCGGTGAACCACTATATTTTCACTGTGTACACCCCTTTAATCCCCTTAGTATTTCACTGCAGCATCATACTCGAGCCTTGTAGCTCTGGTCCACGCTCATCACATGTTACGTGCACATTTTTCTCATCTACGTTGATTTACACCATCAGTTTGGCGCCGTCTGTAGAAACGATTGTTCCTCTTATAAATAAGCTGATTTTTCAGTGACTGATGGTGTCAACACGAAACATGAACAGAAGCCAAACAAACCCATCTCGGATGCAGGACCAACAGAGAGCCACCAATGGCAGACAGCCCGAGAACGTCCCCGAGACTGATCCTCCCATGGGAAATCCCCCCACAAATAACGAGATAAAGGCCCTTTGTCTCGTCAATCAACGCTTGATAAAGCAAAATGTGGAGCTCTTACAGCGCCCACAAAAGGCGCGTCCGGCCCAAGAAGGTCATAACAGTCCCCACTACAGGGATCAACAACACCTTGATCCACTCAGAGAAGACAACGAAGGGGGGAGAACAGCCAGACCTTGGGACAGGTTCCCCAACTATCCCCTAGGAACGACCACAATGAGGAAGTACAAAGTCAGAACCATGAAGGTGAAAAGAATGAAGTCTTCCCTTATCAGTAGGAGAGAAGGGAGCAACTTTTCAAGGGCATCCAACAGGAGCTCAGCCACATGAAGGAAGCGATCAGAAGTAAAGCTCCAGTTACAATGGACACCTCGGTGTAGCAGACTGAATCTCCATTCACGCTTGGGGTGTTGCATTTTTTCTTCCCACCAAAGTTTAGGATGCCACAAATAGAGTCCTTTGATGGAACCAAGGACCCCATGGACCACTTCAATACTTATAAGAACTAGATGGAATTGCACGGGTATCAGGACCCCGACGCTGTCGAGCCATTGCCATCACTTTGAAGGGTTCAGTCTTGGCATGGTTTAACAGGCTCCCCCCGGCCTCAATCTCTTCCTTCAAAGATCTTCATTTCCTTCATATCCCATTTCATAGGGGCTCGAACCTATAGAAAGTCGAGCTATCACCTTTTGAATGTGAAACAGGGACCACAAGAAAATCTCAGGTCATATGTCCAAAGATTTAATTCGGAGTCGTTAAAGATGGATGTCCCAAACAAAAAGTTCGCCATCACTGCCTTCATATCTGGACTAGGGGTGCAGTCTAAAGATTTGATGTTATCCATATCAAAAAATTCTCAAGCAAGCATGACCGAGGTGTTCGCCAAAGCGAAGAAATACATAAACGACGAAGAAGCTCTTCTCTCTAAGGTAAGGAGCTCTTCCGCACATAGAGACAAGGGAAAGAAAGAGAAAAAGAGGAACCGAAGTCCCAGGAGAGAGAGGGAAAGAAACAGATCTTCAAAGAGACATAGATCTCCCAGAAAAGACAAAGAGCGATCCCCAAAAAGAAGTGGCAACGTTAGGGACCGCTTAGGCCCCCCGCAGCCTAAACTACAGCCGAGATATGCACCTCAGCAATATACCCCTCTCACTGCGACAGTGTCCCAGATCCTGTACAAGGTGCAAAACGAAAAATTCCTAAGGTGGCCTCCACGAATGAAGGCATATCCGTCTAAAAGAGACCCTGCGAAATTTTGTGAGTATCATAAGGATCATGACCATCATACCAACGATTACATCCAGCTAAAGAAGGAGATCGAGTTCTTAATCCAGAGGGGACGGTTACGATGATTTGTCGCCATGACAACCAGAATAGGGCTCTGCCACCACCGGCACCCCCAGCAACAAGCCCCTGTGCAGCACCAGCAACCCTTAGGGGAGATTAGAGTGATATCTGGAGGATTTGCTGGCGGTGGAGAATCCAATGCAGCCAGGAAAACACACCTGCGCAAGATCAGAGCTGGCGAAGCACTGGAAGTACACACCGTGTCCAAAATACCTCGGCTGAGCACAACCCTCACTTTCTCGAATTCAGACTTGGAAGGCTGTCAGTATCCCCATGATGACCTGTTGGTTGAAAAGCCATTGTGGCAAACCAAACTGTTCATCGAGTTCTAATTGACAATGGAAGCTCGTCTGACATCATTTTCGCCCCTACCTTTGACAAAATGGGCGTAGGAAGGGAGAAACTTGAGCCAGTTAATGCTCACTTAATGGGGTTCTCAGGGGAGAGGGTGCTACCCCTGGGATCCATCCAACTCGTGCTCACTATGAGGGACCTTCCTTGTCAAGCCACCACCACTGTGAAATTCCTGGTAGTTAACGTCCCTTCTGCGTACAATATACTACTTGGGAGACCATCCCTCAACGCAATAAAGGCTATCCCCTCAACATATCATCTGGTAGTAAAATTTCCTACAGAAAATGGAGTTGGAATGGTCCGGGGAGACCGGCGAATAGCCAGGGAGTGCTACATGGCCTCGGTGAAGCAGAAAGAGGTTGAAACTATTCAGCTAGATGAGCTTGACATGAAGGACGAGCTGGACGCCAGGCCCATACCGTCAGAAGAACTAGAGCCAGTACAGCTCGATGAGGAGCTTGAACATATTTTTTACGTGGGATCTAAGTTGAGCAAAGAAATGAAAGACCCACTCACCCAGTTCTTGAAGAAGAACATGAGGGTGTTCGCTTGGAAGCAAGAGGACATAGAAGGCATTGACCCCTCAATCATCACACACAAGCTAAGTGTGAATCCCATTTGCAAACCTGTTAAATAAAAACGGAGAAGTTTTACTCCGGAACGCCAGAAGGCGATTAACGAGGAGGTCAGTAAACTCCTCCACGCCAAAGTCATCAAAGAGGTGGACTACCCTACCTGGTTGGCGAA